GTCATTCGGCCTATCAGACACCTCCAAATGCGTGGCCAGCAAATCAGCCTGCTTTTAGACAACTTCCTGACGAAGTGGTTGGCTCTAGCAAAATGGCGCCCCTGGCACCTTTTCCTCTAGCAAAAGGGTTTTGTAGGTGCCTTTCTTCAATGATTTCCGGTCTTTAAATTCTTGCTCCATTAACTTGGGCTCGATGTCCAATATGGATCCCAAGTTGCCCACTAGATTGCTCGACCTTGAAAATGCACAAAATACTACCTAGCCTCACATCGAATGTATAAGAACCATTCTAGGGCTGCTAAGACGTACTTGAAGCAATCACATCAATAATCCAATGCATTATGACTATGTTGATGAGAATTGTACGCACTTTTGGTCACAAGACGGGGGTTTAGAATAGACACTTAAACGTGTCATTAATGATAATTTAAGGAGTTACCATCACACCATGAAATGAGAAGTGGGGAGTTCAATTAATTTCCACTTTACTCATTCTTACACGTGGTTTGAGTGAAAATGGGAGAGAAGGTGAGTGTCTTGCTATTGGTGGCTAGATGGGAAGGAAGAGTGCAAAGGTTCCATTTGAATGCCTCCTTATTAATAGAGTGACAAGAATTCTCTATTGGTAATCCAAATACTATAAATAAAGAGGCATAAAACTCCTCATCCCATCCTTCTAATTCCTCGTGTAAAACTGAGTGAGCTAAGAAGCCAACTCACTTGCCCCATCTCTCCTACAACCACAACCTTGCAGTTGCTAGCTCCATCACTGAAGCTAAGTAACATCTCCAATGAAACTTTCTTTTGCTTTTTTCATTGCTATTTTTTATTAGTATGTGAAATATATTTTCTTTTTTCATATCTAGAATTACCATCAAAGTTGGAGCAATCATGTCAAAACAAAAGTCCAATGTATACGAACATGGGGAATTACCTGCTCACTAATGGCTTTGCGTTCAGTTCCACATTTGGAGTTGGCTAGTGGACATGGTGAACAATTAGTTCGGGGGCAAGGATCATCTACCTCAACTTGGCAATGATCATATGTTTCCTTCTACATCACGCTTATCAAAGTCTGTTGAGATAAGTCCAGGTGGAATGTTTAATCAGGATGAGGTTTGGTAAATAAAACTTTGCCGCTTTTTTATATACCTTGTCACATGGAGTATATGGTACCGACATGCTATACTACCCCGGTTAATTGCGATACAGGATGACATGTTGTATACTAGACATCCCTTGATTATGGGCTTTGTTTACCATTTCCGACATGGTTATGCGATGTGATGTGGAGATCCCATTTGATGGTGAGTGTGATGACACCAGGATTTTGGACACTTGTTGCTGATTTTTTGATGGGTTATCACAGAGCCAGAGTATCACCTTCACCAGAGCTATTTCATGCATGTTTCTACCTTCATAGAGAGAGTACAGATTGGTCGCTTCATCGTAGATCCATTGCCTTCCATCTCGCAACTCAGTATGGCCGTGTACAACGGGGTTGGAAACATGAGTTTTTCTATTTCCTTCCAGTTCCAGGTGAACTTTCTTATGATGGCATGGTTGTCCGTGTCGAATGGATGGATATCGAATTGCGGGGATAACATAGGCACTCAGTAAGCAGAGAACACTTAGTACGGGGAGATCTAGCCGCCCAGGTGAGGATATGAAGGCGGATTGATGTTGAGACTCCAGGGGCTCCAGCCATCCTTTTTCAGGGTCTATAATGACGGTATGTTTCTTGTGTTGTTTGGTCATATTTCAGTTATCTTTCATTACCTATGTGTTGTTTTTTTTTTTTGCAGCCTATTCGTGTTTCAAAGCATATATGGAGATTCAAGAGAATGCCTTATTTTCCACGAGTTTGCTGCAACATGCCCCCGACCGTGAGGTGGCATAGTGACCCGCAATATCTCTAAGGTGCCTTAACCAGCCGTGCCGACATTGCATGGTGGTCGAAACAAGTGAGTGTGTCGTCCCTCCCTATGTCGAAAGAGAAATTATGATTCAAATTCTAGAAGGAATTCGACGTTGGTAGCTCGAGCCATCCCACCTGCGAGGGCAGTAAGTGATACCCCCCGTATGGCGAGGACATACCATAGGTCAGAGCCCCTTTGGATTGATGACCAAGCACTGCGCGTGAAGGACGGATAGATGCCTCCCTTGTGTGATATAGGGAATCAACTTCCTCCTCTTGAAGGAGAGGTTGACGGCCTCTTCTTTGCAATATCCCAAAACTAGGTAACTTTTAATATTCTTAATAGACGAATCAATATGTTACAGAGATGAGGAGGCATGTGGCGAAAGCAAGGTCATAAGTTTTGATAGCTCAAAATAATACAGTATGTGTAGAGCATGATATATGTGGTCAATCTAGGAAGTTAGAGTAAGCCAAGGGTCATGTAAGTGAGCTTGAGGGACTCCTTCAGAAGTTTCAAATTCAAGCAAGGATCAGTCCAGAGAGGTTACAAATAACGGAAGTTTCAGAGGCAAGATTGCTACAGGAGTTGACGCTACTTCAGGAGGAGCATGGACTAAGAAAGTAATTCTTCTTCTAGAGCGTGACCATGCTCGTACTGAGGTAATAGGGTTACATCTTCAAGTGAAATAGGAGTCGAGGGAATGCTCGGGTTGTGACACACTCTTACAGGATTTGGGTGAAATACTTCTAGAGTCGCGCATCCAGAGAGAGGAAGATGCCAGATTCAGAGCAGTTTCATCCGAGGAGGTGGTGATGCATCACGACAGCATGGATATTAGGCATTTTAGTGAAACTTTGTCATTCAAAATTCGAAGAAGAAGGTTTAAATCTTCTTCTTAAGAAGTCCCACCTGCTTATGGGCGAGCTAATTCGTTCCCTCGCCCTTCTTCCTTCTCCCACAATTTCTACGACTCAATCTTTTCTTGATTCCATAGATAGCCCAATTTCGATAAAGCTGGAAATGTCTGTTGAGAACGTCCGGTTAGTATGAATGAAATGCTTGGTTCTGATCCTTGTGTGTTATAGTGTAGCTCGTAGCAGTAGCATTTTTTTCTCTGTATCGGTATTATCTTGCTCCACATATGTATTCGGGTGGGTCGCCTATGTATACGTAGGAGTTTGCCATAGATATGTACTCGTGTACAAAGCAGTCAAAATCGGGATTTTGATCATAAAATCGTAGGATTTTAGGATTTTACTTAGAGTTTCCGATCATGATTTTACTATAAAATCGGTGTACCTTAAAATCATTTAAAATCGGGATTAGAATCGTTAAAATAGTAAAATCGTACCAAAATCGGGATTAAAATCCTATGAAAACAAAATAGGTGGTTATAGCAAATTTTAAAAAAGCGAACTGCTTCAGCGGAAAGGTAAATGATGGGGATCTTCTCATATATTTTTCCTATTAAAAAATATTTGAAAAGAAAAAAAATAACCAAATGATGGCTCTATTAATCCCTTTCCCTACGCCCTTTTGATTTCATCGGTATAATAGTTGTCCTAATATTGTACGTATGTAAGAATTAAAATGATTATTGAATACTTAATTGATTAATGAATATAATTGTACCAAGCCACTAGCCTTAATTATTCGATTTGAGTTCATTTATTCTTAGTTTTAAATCACGATTAGCAGATGATGTTGAAATTAACCGGGCTGGAGTACTACTTTGAGTTAACTACCTAGATGAAAAACAAGAGCCAAGCCCCATGAGCTCTATCAGTTGTGTTATTAATGATTTACCTTATTAATTTTATTATATGTTAGTTTCGACAAGGTACTTAAAATCCTACGATTTTACGATTCGATTTTACGATTCCGATTTTACCCTAGTTTTCGATTTTAGGTAAAATCTCGATTTTGACTGCTTTGGTCGTGTACTTTTCCTATTTACATATAGTATTTTTTCATAAATATGTAGCCATTTATTTTGCATTGTACATTTCAGCGACTTTTGATAAAACTAGGCGGCGACGTATCACCTTTTTATTTCAACATTTTGTACATATAACAACAAACACGTAATACATATTATGGCATATACTATGTACATATTATGGCATATACTATGTACATATTATGGCATATAATTGGTAGATATCGTGGCATATAATCGGTAGATATTATGGCAAAAAGTAACTTTTAAAGGGCATGGCATTCCAAGTGCGGGTAATGTTTCGACTAGTAGCATTAGAAAGCTTGATAGTGTTTGGACCAACCACTTTTCATACACCGTAGGGTCCTTCCGACGGTGGATTGAACTTTCCCAAACATTTTTTATTATAATAGTTGCGACAGAGAACCCATTCTACTTCTCGGTCAATATTTTACTTTGGCATTGTTGTAATGGGCCACCCATGCTTTCATGGCTATCATTATGAGGGAAGTATCCTCTCGATGTTCTTCGATGAAATGGAGGTCATGAATGAGCTCATGTGGATTCTCCGTAAGGTGAAAAGCTTCAATTTGGACCTAGGAAAGCTTTGTTTCTATAGGAATTATTGCATCGAAGCCAAGGGTGAGGGCATAGGGTGACTCCCTTGTGACTATTTTATAGGTTGTGCAATTGGCCAAAGAATGCGAGGAAGTTCTTCACCAATTTCCCTATTGCTTCATTCAGTCGAGTCTTCAGTCCCCAAAGGAGGTTTTTCTTGGCAAATTTTGCTTGTTCGTTAGCTTGGGGATAGGTGATAGAGGCATAACGGAGGAGGATGCCATATCGTGTACAATATACTTGAAGACTCTCACTCGTGAACTGTTCCCTTGATCAAGGATAATGGTGTGGGGATACTGAAGCAACAAATGATGTTTTCCAGAACTTCTCGACTTGTTGGGCATTGAGTCCAATGATGGCTCGAGCTTCTACTTATTTGGTGAAGTAGTCAATTATGACAATGAGAATTTTTTTATCTAGGGGCCTCAGAGAATGGCCCTAAGAAGTCCATTATACAATTGGAAAACGGCCACGAGCTGATATTTGATTGCATGGGTCAGGTGGTGCATGTGAAACTTGGGCAACAACCTGACACTTTATACAAGATTTGACATAGTCTCCCATATCTCGAGACATAGTGGGCTAGTAGTATCCCCTGTTTGAGAAGGATATTCTTGAGACTTCGAGGACCGATGTGCATTCTGCATGATCCATCGTGAGTTTCACGAATGGAAAAGTTTCCTTCCCCTTCGCTAAGGCACCGGAGGTAAGGGCCAACAATTTTTTTCAGAGTGCGCCTTCTATATGGAGGTAGAGAGGTGGGAGATCCTATTCGCTTAAATGCTCCGGCATACTTCGAGCAGATCAACCTCCCGGAGTGTGTTGGTTTCGAGTTTACTGTTGGTCAAACGAAGGCAACCACGATCAAAATTCAGTGGGGGATCCTCAACGAGCTACTCGGAAAGTCTACACGCCCAACGAACACTCCACTGGGCATCTTAGTTTTCGGAAGCTGTACCATATGCACTCCATGGGGATGACAGACGCCAATATGCATTTGGGATCTGTAGTCGCCTGGATGATCACCAAGTATTCAATTAATAGGGCCCCCCTAGTTTGAGACCATGATATCAATGCTTTGGCAAAGTACTTTGAGGTCGCTCTCATGAACTGCACTCAGGTTGGTACCAACCACCGGTCGGACGCAGATATTCTCAAGAATCGACATCTGATTGAGAAGGAAGAGACCATAAAGTGGATCAAAGGGCTTCCTCGCCCCACTTTCCACGAGCCTGAAGCTGCTACTGGAGCCGTTGACCCGCCTAAGGCGGGAGCTCCTCGCGCTCCCTGTCGACATGCTTGGCGTACCCAAGAGCATGGAAGCTCCTCTAAAGGACCACAGGAGTATGTCGGCTCTTTTCCATGTCATAGTGTCGGACCATACACCCAGTTTGTTGTAAGGTAGTGACCTTGGTGCACTAAGATATCCTGGACGGGTAGGCTCGGTACAACAGTTGTCTTGACCGGGAGAGGGATGGTCGTCGCTGCATAATTTTGGACCAGTATTACATGATGAGCTACCAGGGAGGGGACCCTACTTCTTTTGTCTACCTCTAGGTGAATCCCCTAGGATATGAGGAGTTCTACCCACCGTAGTACCAACACTACCAGCCCGGTGGAGATGACTACCAGCCCAGCGGGGGTTATCACCCTGGAACTGACTAACCCTGCCACTAGATGATCTTTTGTTTGTTTTGTTTTTTTCCCTTTCACACTAAGACCTTTTTTTCTTTTTTCTTGTGGATTCTGACCTTGGAAATATGATTTGTGCTTCATCTACAACCCTATGTGTTTGCTGTTTTAGCTCAGTGCCTTCTGGCTAGTGTACTTCCAGTCCCGTATTTCTGACTGGTCCACTCTCTAGTCACCGCCAACAGTCATCTTTCCCCTTTCTTTTTCTTTTCTCCATTGAGTTTAATGTCAACCTTAAGTGTGGGAGGTGTTTATTCTGTTAACTGTTTATTGTTGCATTTGTGTTCTGTTTGGAGCCTAGTCCACTGTACAAATTAAAAATTTGAGGGCTCCATGCTGAAATTTCCTTGATTGCGTGATCATATTGGCACTTGTGTTGTTTGTTTTGAATATGTTGGATATGAGCTTTTGATGCATGAATGAGTTGTTTGCGACTGAGACAGCCTGTTGTGATGACTGAGATATGTAGTAGAATTGTGTAGGGGTTAAGTTTTCAACTGTGACACGTCAAAACACAACACCAAACTGCGACCAAGTGTAATCGCAGTCCGAAAATGCAGTGAAGTGGCAAGTTCTAATTATCAACCCGGGGTCTTGATCTACTGCCTACTCCGTGAATATCTATTATCTAGCCAACTAAGTCGATTGATTGTGGTTTTAACTAAAAGCAGTAAGAAAGCAGGAAATGGTTCGGTTTTCTAAAGCAAAGGAAGAGTCACTCGGGAATGAGTCCCCCTAGCTCCTTAGTTAGGTCACAGTTGTAATTATCCTAGGTTTATTTACTGTTGATTAAACTGCGGAAGATCCGACAGTAGCTTGGAATCTCTTAAGCTGACCAAGCCCTCTCAGTCCAACTACCAGGCAAACGACTAGTCTTCACCGGGATAGAAAACTGAGGCAAAAAGCACAGAACTCCACTACTGGAATTGGATTCCAGTACAAAAAAGTAGATTGATTAACTCCCGTATAACCAATCTACCACTACCGAATGATGAAGCTCTAACAACCTAATCAGATTCTATCTATCTAAGGTTGCAGCAGAAATCAAGAAAAGATGATCAGACTTCAATTGAATCAATGAATCATGCATAATTCGATTAAAACCAAACACTTTAACAATCCCAAGTCATTACAATCAAGATCCCTAACACATGGAACTAGGGTTCTTCATACCCAAGTGAGAGAGAGTGGAAAACAGAATACAAAGCAGTCATACTCATAAAGATGGGAAGAATCTGCTCTGGGATGTCAATCTTCACTCCAAGGATGATTTCCAAGCTTGATTGATGAAACCCAGCTCCAAAACCACTCTTAGGAAGTGTTCTTCGCACTTTCTCTCTCTAGGGCTCTGTTTTTGCTCTAAAAAGTCGATTCCCCCCTCCTCTGGCCCGAATTTGGGTAAAAACCAAGAAATTCCCGAGCACACGGGCAGGCCACACGGCCGTGTGGCTTTTTAGGCATGCCCGTGTGAGTGTGCTAAATGCGTCGTTTCGATAAGTGGACTTCAGCCATCCTACACGGCCGGGTGGATTTCCAGACTGCCCGTGTGAGTTCCCTGGAATTTCCACACGGCCACATGGGTTCCCTTACACGGCCGTGTGGGTTTTAGGCATGTTCGTGTGACTTCCTCAGCTTCTCGCCAAACGTCCGATCTCCGTCCAATCGACCCCGAAATCGTTCCTAAACCTTCATTCACGTACTAGGACCTGAAATACCACATGAATCAACGGTCCTAAATCCACTAGTTCACAAAATCAACTGGCACAGCAGAGAGACCGATAGGAAAAATCTTATACTTCAACATCCTCCATAGTGCTACAACTACCTCCCTAGGTTGCATATCACCATAAAGACTGTCAATTCAAAGCATATTGAGCAAGATTTTGCAGGGAATAGTACTTGGAGCCCTCAATTCATCAAATTGGACAGTGGACTAGGCTCCAAGCACACAAACTCATCTAGCAGTCAAAAATAGATAAACACCCCCCCCCACCCCACACACACACACTTAAGCACGACATTGCCCTCAATGGAGCAAGGGAAAGATAAGGGGGAACGATGTTACCGGGAATACGGAATGTCGGGGAGTTGGAAATGGGACCAGTCAGTAGGTCTAGAGTCATCAAAACACACTGGGTGATAGAAACTATAGTTCCAAGTGGACAAACCGAAAACAAACGAAGAAAAAACAAACCTTGGTGGGATTGCCTCCCCACAAGCGCTTCTTTACCGTCTTTTAGCTGAACGCTAGTAGGGTGGATACTCAGAGAGGTGAAGGAACAACTGCCTCCAAGAGAGGATCCACGTCGCTCTTGAGGTACAGCTTCAGATGGTGGCCATGCACATGATGGGTGTGACCACCAGCACTCGTCAACTCAACCCGGCCATCCGGCAGGATGCAAGCGAGTGAATACTCGGATGGCCAAGGTAGTCGAGGCTCAGGAGGCGGGACCAACTCATAGTGGTCTCCTGCTTTCTTGTGAGCAGGCTTAGCTGCGTGCAGTTTTGGCCGCCACTCCACCCTGATCTTTTCCTTTGGTGACGGAGTGGACGGGAGTGGCGGCGAAGGTATGGGAGGGGGATCCTGCAAAATGGGAAGCACAGAAGGATACACGACAGACTCGTGCTCCTGGTGAGAAACAGCATGCAAGGGCGATGAAGCAGGGAGAGTATTAGCAATGGTAAATGTTATTCGCTCCTCTCCATCCTTCAAGACTAAGGTCCCATCATGTACATATATGAGAGCCTTGGCGGTGGCCAGGAAAGGCCTTCCTAGTATAAGGGGCACTTCTGTGTCTTCATTGATGTCCAATACAACAAAATCCACAGGATAAAAGAATCTGCCAACCTTAACCAGAAGGTCTTCCACTATGCCCCTGGGATGAACTATAGATCGGCCAGCTAGTTGAATACTCATCCTAGTTGCACTGGGTTCACTTAGTCCTAGTTTCTTGAACAATTTATATGGTATCACATTAATACTAGCACCTAGATCAGCCAAGGACCTCTCTACATGCAATTTACCTATGGAGCACGGGATAGTAAAACTACCTGGGTCCTTCTGCTTCTGCGGAAGCTTGTTCTGCAGAACGACCGAGCACTCCTCGCTGAGCTCCACAATGGCTAGCTCGCTCAGCCTTTGCTTCTTCGAGAGAAGCTCCTTCAGGAACTTCGCATACTTAGGCATCAGAGATAGTGCCTCCATGAAGGGCACTTGAACATGCAACTTCCTAAGCATGGACGAGAAGTTTCCGAACTCTGCCTCCATTCTGTCTTTGTAAATCCTGGTGGAAAAAAGGAGCTTAGGCTTGTATTCGGCCACTACAGGTTGTGGCTTTGGAGCTTGATCCTCTGGCTCCTTTTACATCACCAGGTCTTCTTCCGGCTCAGGGGTGATCTGGGTCACCTTCTTGGCACTCTTCTGCGGTGCATCCAAAGTCACAGTCCCACTTCGTAGTGTAATGGCGTGCAACCCCTCCTTATGATTTCTAGGATTCGGTAGGGGTTGGCCCGGAAGTGTGCCAGCCGGTCTGGAAGTAAAGAAATCTACCAGGTGCCCGATCTTGGTATCCATATCCTACAGGAGTGCTTGCTGGTTTCTCTGGCCAGCTTCAATCTCCATGAATTTGCCTGCAGCCGCTTCCATGAATTGCTCTAATTTATTGAAATTTTGGGTACTAGTGCTCGCCAAGGTAGTCACTAGATCCCTCAGTTCTGACACGGGATTGCTAGGTGCTGGGACTGATGGAGGCGCACTAGGCTACTGGTACTGCTTCTGTGGGGGCTGTTGAAAAGCCTGCCCCTGTCTGGGCGGATAAAGTGGCTGTTGTTGCTGCATCTGGCCCGGGCGAGGCTGGTATGGCTACCTCTGGTTTGGAGAACTAGCTGTAGGGGCCTGGAAGCCAGGTGGCTTTGGATTGTTGTTGCCACTCCAGGAGAAATTTGGATGCTGGCGTCATCCCTCATTGTAGGTATTACTGTACGGATCGTTGCGCCTGACATTGTTGATGAAGTTCACCTGCTCTTGGGGAGTAGACGACTCCCTCATCGCGTGACTATCCTCCACGGTGTGATGGGAGCTCTCACACCTCTGCCAGTGCATTGCCTGCGGCTGTCCTGTACCTGCTATCATCCCAGAGCGATCGATGGCTGAAACCAGCTTTGATACCACCTGCACCAAATCCGATGACTGGGTTGCTACAGCATGCACACCCCGCCATGGTGCTCGTCTCGATCTCCTCGTAGTTCCCCAATCATAGCCTTGCTCTCCCGTCTCTTCATAAAGTTTATTCAGCTGTGGCGGTGTTTTGGTGAGCATATTCCTGCCACAGACCAAGTCAATCAGCTGCTTGTCCTCCGAGAAGAGGGCATGTTAAAAGGTGCCCACCTTGAAGGCGACAGTGAAATCATGGTTGGGACACTTGAGGAAGAGACTGGTGTATCTCTCCTAAGCATCCCGGATGGTCTCATCTTCATCCTGAGCAAAGTGGGTAATTTGCTTCTGCAGGTCTGCCGTCTTGGACGGGGGATGGTAGCGAGTGAGGAACTTGTCCGCCAGGTTGGCGAACGTGGTGATCGAGCCTGGAGGTTGAGTGTTTAGACACTCCTTGGCCTGCCCTCCAGAGTAAATGGGAAGTACCTCAGCTGGATGGCATCGGCTGGGACCCCATTTATCTTGATTCCATCGATGAGCTCGTGGAATCGCCTCAAATGTGATCGGGGGCACTCCCCCTCTTTGCCACGGAACACCACCGAACCGCGCATCATGGTGATGACAGAGGTGCTCACCTCAAAGTTATTCGCTGGCACATGAGGGTGTTGAATGGGCGACCTCATGTCCGCAGCTCTGGCATTCCAATAGTACCCGATGGTCTGTTCCTCGGGGATGACCACATCATGGTCCTGTGGGTCACCCATCTCTTCTTCGTCGGTGATTTGCAGCTGTGCTAGCGCCTCCTCCGCAGCCAGTCACGTCTTTAGAGCCTGCTTGAAGTTCCTACAGGTCCGTTCAAGCTCCTGGTCTAATGGTAGTAAATCTCCCGACTGGCTACGGGTCATGCACATCCAGCAAAGAAGAGGAAGTTCTTGATCTTTTCCAAGGGGAGAAACCACATTCTGATGAAGGAAGGGGGGGGGGGGGGGTTAAAGAAGCAAGTGGTGTCCAAGATGAGGATGAAGTTGAGGTGGAAGAGGCATGCACCGGCCATGAGTTACATGTGATATCTCCACTAAACTTCGAGGAGCTGCTTGGCAAGGACCCATTTGCAGTGTCTCTTTGCCAGACCAAGATCACATCAACATCGATCCCTCTTGGTGGATGCGACGGTGGTCAATCGAATATATCTTATCTAGTTTGGGGCAATGAGAAAAGAGCAGATGCGAAAGAGAGGTCTCGAGAGTGGAGATTTCATCTTCCTCAAGGCCACGAGCCATCTTCATCACCTATCACATCACATGCTCGTGACTTGAGACTCCACATCATCGACGAAAACCTCAACTTCAAGGAGGTTTTGGGGTGGACCGAAACTTAGGAGCCACCGTCCGGCTAAGACGTAAAAGAAGCGCTTGTGGGGAGGCAACCCCACCAAGGTTTGTTTTTCCTTCGTTTGTTTTCGGTTTGTCCACTTGGAACTATGGTTTCTATCACCCAGTGTGTTTTGATGACTCTAGACCTGCTAACTGGTCCCATTTCCGGTCCCCCGACAGTTCGTATTCCAGGTAACATCGTTCCCCCTTATCTTTCCCTTGATCCATTGAGGGCAATGTCGTGCTTAAGTGTGTGTGTGTGGGGGGGGGGGGTGTTTATCTATTTTTGACTGCTAGATGAGTTTGTGGGCTTGGAGCCTAGTCCACTGTCCAATTTGATGAATTGAGGGCTCCAAGTACTGTTCCCTGCAAAATCCTGCTCAGTATGCTTTGATTTGACAGTCTTTATGGTGATATCCAACCTAGGGAGGTAGTTGTAGCACTATGGAGGATGTTGAAGTATAAGATTTTTCCTATCTGTCTCTCTGCTGTGCCGGTTGATTTTGTGAACTAGTGGATTTAGGACCATTGATTCATGTGGTATTGATGACTCCTCTTATGTTGTGTTGTGGGCTCGTGTATCGAAAAAGGGTGCTGAAGTGTGAAATGAAAAAGCAGTTGGTCCTCTATGTCAAAAATTTGAAATTCTAAGACATGGGGTAAGCCCAACGTGTGTGGCACTGTTCATTGCACTAAAAGCAGTAAGAAAGCAGAAAATGGTTCGGTTTTCTAAAGCAAATGAAGAGTCACTCGGAATGAGTCCCCCTTGCTCCTTAGTTAGGTCATAGTTGTAATTATCATGGGTTGATTTACTGTTGATTAAACTGCGGAAGATCCATCAGTAGATTGGAATCTCTTAAGCTGACTAAGCCCTCTCAGTCCAACTACCCGGCAGACGACTAGTCTTCACCGGGATAGAAAACTGAGGCAAAAAGCACAGAACTCCACTACTGGAATTGGATTCTAGTACAAAGCAGTAGATTGATTAACTCTCGTATGACCAATCTACCACTACTGAATGATGAAGCTCTAACAACCTAATCAGATTCTATCTGTCTCAGGTTGCCGCAGAAATCAAGAAAAGATGATCAGACTTCAATTGAATCAATGAATCATGCATCATTCAATTAAAACCAAACAGTATAACAATCCCAAGTCATTACAATCAAGATCCCTAACACATGGAACTATGGTTCTTCATACCCAAGTGAGAGAGAGTTCTACTCCATAGAGAGAGAGGGGAAAACAGAATACAAAGCAGTCATACTCATAAAGATGGGAAGAATCTGCTCTGGGATGTCAATCTTCACTCCAAGGATGATTTCCATACTTGATTGATGAAACCCAGCTTCAAAACCACTCTTAGGAGGTGTTCTTCGCAATGTAGTCATAATTGCGATTTAAAACTTAAAAACTTACGATTTTACGTTTTTAGGTCAACAAAACGCTTTCGTTTCCATATAAAAACTTTAGTGTATAAAATCGGACTAAATTGCGCTTTAAACCTTAAGAGCTTACGCTTTTACGCTTCTAGTTCACCAAAATGCTTTACGTTTTACGCTTTTAGTTCACTAAATAGGTATTCTTTTCATGATATTAAAGGTCAATTACCAAAATATGATAAATTTTACATTCAAGGTACTTAACAGATGAATTGCAGGTATTTATTAACTTATCTAAATTATGTGCACTCATATTTTATATAGTATATATTGTACTTAACAGATTTTTAGTTATTTTATAGCATGCTCCAAAAACTTACGTTTTTACGCTTTAATTATACGCTTTACGATTTTACCCCTTTTCCGCTTCTAGGTAGAATCGCGCTTTTGACTGCATTGGTTCTTCGCACTTTCTCTCTCTAGGGCTCTGTTTTTTCTCCAAAAAGTCGATTCCCCCCTCCTCTGGCTCGAATTTGGGTAAAAACCCAGAAATTCCCGACCACACGGGCAGGCCACACGGCCGTGTGGCTTTTTAGGCGTGCCCGTGTGAGTGTGCAAAACGCGGCGTTTCGATAAGTGGACTTCAACCATCCTACACGGCCACAACCACACGGTCGTGTGGATTTCCAGGCTTCCCGTGTGAGTTCCCTGGAATTTCCACACGGCCACATGGGTTCCCTTACACGGCCGTGTGGGTTTTAAGCATGCCCGTGTGACTTCCTCAGCTTCTCGCCAAACGTCCGATCTCCGTCCAATCGACCCCGAACTCATTCCTAAACCTTCATTCACGTACTAGGACCTAAAGTATCACAAACAAGAACAACCTAGCAGGAAATCGGCCTAAAACACGAGAGATAAGACTCAAACGGTGTAAGAATGGTGGACAAAAACATGTGTATATATCAAGTCATCAAACTGCTTGCGAACAAACCTATGACTTGGATTTGATTACTTACTCTTTATACTTTTCATTGCATCAAAATCAAGGAATCAAAATCAGGGATAGAGCATTTAGGTAGCCATGTGAGATTTGAGACTTCTCGTTTCTTTCTTGTGTGATAGATCCCTCTTACCATGATATGTAGCATTCACATTGCCAACAATTAGGAAGTTGGCCAAATTGACTGTCTTGGTGTGTCATACCCTTAAGCCATGTAACTTCCTTTCTTTGTGTCTACAATGAAAAATCACCCTTATTCATCTCTTAGAGGTTTCACAAAGTGGTTTTTGTATGTTTTCTGCTAGAAATAAATTTGAGTGTTGGAGGTAGTTCTTAAAAGTTGGGCATGTGTTTAAATGATAAAGAATGTGGCAAAAGTTTGTGGTTCTCAATTAGGAAAAATGAAAAAAAATTAAAAGAGAACCGCCACAAAAATATGATCTTGCCCATGAAAGTGAGTGTTTCTGAGCAGGCTGGCTTAGAGACACTATTGTACCATTACCTCCTTTACTCTTGTGCTTTAAAGAATTTCATTAATGCAGAATAATAGGAGAGGAAGTAATTGGTTTGTTTGAATGTTGTTGT